CCTCGTTTGGTCGCCTCAATGTGCATCTACCAGTTCACCTGCTCTTGTGGAGCAAGGTACATCGGCCGTAGCCAACGATCGCTTTCAACTCGGATACGAGAACATATACCAGTTTGGTTCTACAAGGGTGAAAGGAAATCAGTTAGAAGTTCTATACTTGAACACTTAATCGACTGTAATCATTCGACGAATCCACAGTCTGATTTTAAGGTTGTTTATATGATTCGTTCAAATCTACCAAGATTTCTTCGTATCAAACTCTTAAAAATAGCCGAAGCTCTTACCATCCATGAGCTCAAACCAGAACTATGCGTACAAAAGAAGTACGTTTTATCATTATCGTTACCATGGCCTTAAGATTATTATTATTATTATCATTCTTTTATTATTACTCCATTCCCCTTTACTTATGTTTTATATTCTTATTATTTTATTCATGAATACTCATCACCTTATTTATTTATTTATTTTACACCTCTATGACCTTTAATGACCTTTAATTATTGTAACCAAAACATTTTATCCGTCTTACTATATTCACTAAATCTATTGTTGTTATTCATATTACGTAATCCAGTATTATAATCTTGGTTATTAGTGTTCACATTTCCTCACGGAATTAGTACTTTAACAAAACTTTTTCATATATATATATACGATTGTACAGCTTGATAATAAATTCGTTGAAAAGAGATCCCTTCGCTGAAATTCGTGTTTTTAATTTTAATGTTAAATGGGAATTATATGCTAATGTCAATGTGTCGGTGCTAGTGTGTTGGTGCACGTGTGAGTGAGTGAGTGAGTGAGTGGTATATGAATTCAGTAGGCGATTCGTTTGTTTGTCTGTCTGTCTGTCAGTTCGCTCCACATGTATGCACGTGGATGTCAGGGAGAGTGAGTGGTTCAGTTTTGTAGTGTGTAGGTGTAGATGTAGGTGACGGTGAATGTGGAGGAGAAGATGGGGATGAATATGTGAGTGACGTGTTGTAGATGCTGATAATGGAATGGATAATTGTATGTGGAATTGTTGTTGATACATGGTAGATAAGATGTAGTAATGATGTAGGTATGATCAGAATGTGTGGTGTTGTGCGTGCGGTAGCGACGCGAACGTGGCCTCGTGGTGTAGCGGTGAGCACTTCGGACTCTGAATCCGGCAACCCGAGTTCGAATCTCGGCGAGGCCTCACAATGTGGGCACTTTTGAAATCATCACTAACCATGTGCATCACTTCGATCACGTCGTCCCAATCACACCTCACCAGTCCACACAACACAAACACTCCTCAGTCTGATCAGTCAACTGGGCAGTCAACGACATGCTGTGATTCACAAACTCCGTCATCTGTGTTCGACCGATTCCGGTCACACACTCACCACTACATACGCATGTCCAAATCACACTTGTTCATCAACCTACCACATATCCACACCGATTCATCCTACTCTACACTTGTACACCTACATGTGACTATGGACATGTGTAATTCAGTCATTGTATTTCACAGACTGTTCCAGTATTGATGCTTGTGTGTGTATGTGATTGCAGTGTTGCGTGCACTGTTGGATATTTTGTGCGAGCGAAACAATGTTGTTGGTGGCATCACGTGTCGTTTGTATGTGTGGTGTGAATGTGTGATGTTATGTATGTGGTGAGCGTGGAACTACGGTGTGGTGGTGTGGAGGTTGGCACTCTGACCTGTGAATTCACTGACCCGAGTTCCAGTCTGGGAGGAGCCGCATCCTGTCAGGTGTCTTCAAACTACCACTGACCACCATGTGAAACACTTCAACATGCCTTCCTCCGACCACATCACACCACTCACACTCGACCAGTGCACACTGCTACTTCTCAGTCGGCACGTTTGTCCAACCGTTTCGTCTGACCGGAATAGTGGTCGTGATGTCCGTGAGACGATCGAATGGCACACCAGCAAAACACACAGTGTACCGAATCACATGTTGATGTTGTCCTGAATAGCTTGGTGTATTGGATGACATAGATCGACGCTTCACTAATGTCAATGTGTCGGTGCTAGTGTGTTGGTGCACGTGTGAGTGAGTGAGTGAGTGAGTGAGTGAGTGAGTGAGTGGTATATGAATTCAGTAGGCGATTCGTTTGTTTGTCTGTCTGTCTGTCAGTTCGCTCCACATGTATGCACGTGGATGTCAGGGAGAGTGAGTGGTTCAGTTTTGTAGTGTGTAGGTGTAGATGTAGGTGACGGTGAATGTGGAGGAGAAGATGGGGATGAATATGTGAGTGACGTGTTGTAGATGCTGATAATGGAATGGATAATTGTATGTGGAATTGTTGTTGATACATGGTAGATAAGATGTAGTAATGATGTAGGTATGATCAGAATGTGTGGTGTTGTGCGTGCGGTAGCGACGCGAACGTGGCCTCGTGGTGTAGCGGTGAGCACTTCGGACTCTGAATCCGGCAACCCGAGTTCGAATCTCGGCGAGGCCGTCAGTTATGTATATATCAGTCTGTCTGTTATACACAACGTAGAAGCTGGAACATGACCGCATCGGTTTAAGTAGTCACATATAGCGACATGAAATTATCAAGGGAAATCTCAAAGTACTGCAGGCGGTAACAGCGTTGTTGGTAATGGAGAAGATTAAGCATAGAAGTTATGGTTTGATAGGCAAATATGGATTAGTGGAAGATATTTTGAGATTATTTAGAAACTGGGTATCTAGGGGAAGACAAAGAATGAATGCACCTATGTCACTGTGAACGGTTCTGAACCATGTGACTTAACATCTGCAACCGTTGACTAAGATGACTCTAACCCCAACCAAATAGTCTGAGCCTACTACTCAGGTCAGTCAATGAGTTCAAAGGTTGATGCCATGTCATAGTCGGACCTCCCCTATCTTTCTACTAACCTAGTCCTATACCAGCCTTCATCACACTCCAAGGTAGACATATGTAACACTTGTTCCAACCATCCAAGTCAATAAACACTCACTACCACACTAATCAATCTGTCACCTTTACCTAGTACTCTCCATCACAATGTGGGCACTTTTGAAATCATCACTAACCATGTGCATCACTTCGATCACGTCGTCCCAATCACACCTCACCAGTCCACACAACACAAACACTCCTCAGTCTGATCAGTCAACTGGGCAGTCAACGACATGCTGTGATTCACAAACTCCGTCATCTGTGTTCGACCGATTCCGGTCACACACTCACCACTACATACGCATGTCCAAATCACACTTGTTCATCAACCTACCACATATCCACACCGATTCATCCTACTCTACACTTGTACACCTACATGTGACTATGGACATGTGTAATTCAGTCATTGTATTTCACAGACTGTTCCAGTATTGATGCTTGTGTGTGTATGTGATTGCAGTGTTGCGTGCACTGTTGGATATTTTGTGCGAGCGAAACAATGTTGTTGGTGGCATCACGTGTCGTTTGTATGTGTGGTGTGAATGTGTGATGTTATGTATGTGGTGAGCGTGGAACTACGGTGTGGTGGTGTGGAGGTTGGCACTCTGACCTGTGAATTCACTGACCCGAGTTCCAGTCTGGGAGGAGCCGCATCCTGTCAGGTGTCTTCAAACTACCACTGACCACCATGTGAAACACTTCAACATGCCTTCCTCCGACCACATCACATCACTCACACTCGACCAATGCACACTGCTACTTCTCAGTCGGCTCTTTTATGCAGAATAGATCTTTTAACTTTTCTCAAATGTTTATTTTCTTTATAATTTTCCTTTTCATGTTTAACCTACTTTTTTTGGAATTAATTACATATTTTCTGCTTTCAATTTAGTTGATCATTTGGCTTGTGTTTTCTTATGAACGTAGTAATCTTATTAGCTGATTTCATGATAACATTCATTTAGAAGGTGTATATGAAACGTACATTGTTAATCTTGTCTGAATATTATTCCTTTTTATCAGCTTTTATACGTTGTAATGGGTTTTTATCTTAATTGACGTTGAGAAATGTTAGCCAATCAGTAGATAGTCAGCATAGAGTAATATTATATCATACGAAGCCAAGTAATTAAACTGGATACACTTCTTTATATGGTCCAAAAACTTTTCAATGCTAGAAAAAGGTTCCAAAAGCGTAATGCATAAGGTAGAGGAACTCATCCATATGGCTTCATAATAGTTGGTCTCTGGAGCTATCATAAAGTCATAAAAACCTTCCCAGCCTCGACTACATAGCTTCATTATTGTTTGTGTACTCCAGTTGTGTAAGTTTATCATTTTTAATATGGATATGTCCCTACAATACTCATACTACTGCACAGCCGAAGCTTCAGTAATATCTGCGATTATTTCAGCCAATGTTAGTGGTGCTTTTATCATACAGTTGGCGACAATTATTATAATATGCCTTAGTCTCAATCTGGATCGAGCGATAAAGGTTCCTATTCTAGCAAACGTCATCCTTCAACATATGTTACATCGAAGGACAACATCACGGCAGTCTGAACAAGGTCTACGAGTCATTTAATACCCTCAATTACAAATACAGGAAGTTCTTAGTAGTCTCATTCGTTGTAGCCGCTTAATTGTCAAGTATACTCTAAAATTCTCTGTGAACCGATCGTACATGAGCATCACGTACTGAAATTGGCGCCATGACCTTGAAATCTTTCAAACGCTTCTGATTGGCTCGTTTATAAATTACAATCTTACCTAAATTTCTTTGGGAAGCATCCAGTTTTTAGTAAGCTCATTTTTTATTAGATAAATCCCCTTTTAAAATTATTAAAAATCTCTTACGAAATTGCCTAGTTATATATGATAAACAAATAGTTTTACTAAAAAGAATCTAATTTAACTGACTTATCTATGTGAAGTACATTAAAATACAAAAAAGAAAAAGTAAGACAATAACAATGAAAATAATTTTCGTTTATTTATTTATTTATTTTTTCCACAACCAATCAAAATTAATCAATTTTACCCTCCCCTCCCCTCCCTCCCCCCGTTTTTTTTTTCAAATTTCTTTCTTTTTTTTCTTTAGAAGAATATAAAATTCCTTGGAAACTCATATATACTTTTTTTTTTAATTTGGATTACAAAATTGTTCTAGATAATTACGATTACAACCAATACAACAACATTGTGTTACAACTTGATCTGGTTCATAAATTATATATAATGTACATAGATCATCAAAACGTTTTTGACGTTGTAAAATTCTTTCTAAATCTAAAATATTACGTAATATACATAAGGGAAGAGAGAGAGAGAAAGAGAAAGAAAGATAAGTAAGTTGAATATGGCTTAAATTAATATTATATAACTTTTATTTTATATAGTAAAGACTAACCAGTTATAGTTCTAACACATCGATGTGAAGATTTAAACAAACAATACTAAATGAATTTAAACTTCACCCCATTGCACAAGCAAGTGACTATGAGGACTCATTGGTCGAATGGATAACGTGATGGCGTTTGAAGTGAACGGTACTGGGTTGCAGTCCCACAGTGAACATCAATTCCGAGATGCAGGTATATCCAGCTGACGAGTCTCAAATAAAACTTAAAGCGTGTCAAACTGGATTCCATTGCTAGCCACTATCCATTGTTTAAAAAGATTTATATAAAAGTGTATCTTGTCAGTTACTAATAAGAATAAATGTTGGCAGAAAAGATGATCAATTATAGTGGATAAGTGATGTTATAATCTTTAAAAAAAAATTGAAGTACATCTTACCTCTCAGCGTCTTATATAGTGCATCTATGGATCTTAAATAAATTCTAATGAAGCATTTTCAGTTGGAACTCAGGTATTGAGTAGTTTATACGTCTTCATCCTGACCGTTGCTTCTACCTTGAAGTGGTGGTCGTGCCTGCCTATAATGATGAACCAATCGAGCTATACTGGCTGGAACAATCGTTCCTTAAAGTCCTACCATTCCAGACAGGTCGGTCGAAGAGCGGTAAGACTAAAAGCAGCAATCCCAAGGTCCGAATTCGTACTGATGACTGTACAGAGGTGTGACGGCAGTAAGGTGTTTCCTTCAGACAACCAGCATAACAGCGATGCTGCCTTTCCACAAGGAGGGGTGGGGTTAGGAAAGGTCGATCGTAAAAATGCACACCTCGCCTTACCCCACAGATATCCGTCTCCGGTAGTAAGGTCCCAACAAGTACGGAGCTAACACGAAAATTACCCACAAATAGGTCGTGTGTGACCGACCTCAAGCACTTGTCCCTTGGGCACTGCGGTCACGCTCTCAGGTCATTAAGACCACTTCTAATCCAATTTCGTTTTCAGGTACCTCTAGAAGAACCCTTCCACGGTGTGGGCAACTGGGAAGTGATAACTGCCCTCATACCTCTAATAGCACTCAAGACTGACTAATACATCTTCAACAGTTACGCACAGTGCACAACTTTTTGCCTATATTCCTACATATAAATTAGATTGTAATAAACTGAAATACAGTATCAATGTCACTTGTTATTCAATTGTTAATTCATTTTAACGTTTTTCTTATGATAAATATTGTGATACAAAATTGTCATTAATAATAAGTAATGTAACGTTGCTTTCAGTATTCAACAGAGAACTGTCTACCTGCGTCTATCTAAGTGAGCATTTACCAAAAAAACATTAGAAGAAGTCCTCCGTTTACAGATATGAATATAGACATTTCATAGTCATATAATTACTAGTAAAATTTTAAAAAAATATTTTGTTACAGCATAATAACCCTATGAACTTTGTTTTTTGAACAGTTGCCAGGGCTTGAAAAAATCAATCTATACAATCCATTGAGAAAGATTTTTATGAATGTTTTGTAAAACCTTCACACCAACGGGTAACTTATTAGTAGTAACCGTTAAATCATAAAGATGAATAATCACTGATTTTTGTCTATTTATATCAAATTGGATAATTTCAGCTCTGTGTTTGGATGATAGTGTTATATCCCGTGAAGAATTATGAATGGTAGCTTTGAGAACTGTCTATGGACCAATAATAATATGTATATTTCCTATTGTATAATTGTGAAGTAACTAGACTATTCATATTCGTGTCCCCCTTATTATAAGCTTTATTTTGACCCATAGACTATTACTGTATGATTTACCATTCTTGAGTTATGCCCAGTCCATTAATTACTGTTCCCGCTATTTACAGCCACATTTGGCTAAATCTTGTATAAATGTTATTTTCTATTTCATGGTATGATGTGATCTTTTTGGTTGGTATATAGACCCAGTATGTTTGAGAATAATGATTCATATTTCAGAGGCTGTTTTAGACTTAACTGGCTGGGTTAAGTAAAAAAGAGGACTGATAAGTACTGAAGACTGTTCATACAGCTTTTGTGTATCATTGGGCGATCAATAAATCCACTGCTCTCTGATAGGCGGTCTTATAACGTTCATATATATCAAGTGGGCAAGAATGCACTCAATCGATACAACATATAGAGCCTGACATAAACTGAACTATAAAACCGAGTAATACAGCAAAAACATACATTTTAGGAGGATATCTGTTTATCATACTCTAATGATCTTAACTGTCTGATAGATAATCATCAATTGAGACTTATTTTACTGAATATTCACTGTAATAGGAGTTGTGCTTGATAAAGTTTGTAATACAACTCACTTACAAGGAAATCTTTCAATAAATTTGGATATTTTAATTATCTACAATTGTTTGATCATTGAGTGGTGATCAATGTCATCTATGTCAGGTTCTTCTTAGTGCAGATCGAATCCTACAGATCTATAGGATTATTAGAATTTATCCCGCGGGGCGGGAACGTGGATGCGCACTGCTGAGAAGTCCCACAATAGGATGAAACGGCAGACCAGTGCTTCCAGGTTTTCCACGGTGGTCTAGCTTCAATTGACTCATGATCTTAACTATATAATTTTAGAATTTAATTATCTTTCAGTATGTCAATACAGTTATCTGACATTTTACCGATTAAAGCACCAAATTATACTTGAAAAATACAAATGACGTAATCTTCCCATCAGTTATTTCATTGAGTATACCAAGATTATATATCCTAAATGTTGCTACACTGATTACACATGAATCGCCAGACTTTTAAAATTTTTACTAATTATATAACAGGAGATTTGATGTTGTAAGAACAGACAAACTAGAGATTTAGCGTTACACAAAAATTCATGTCCATAAAATTTTAGCTAACTACTAAATCGTTTTACAATAGCTTTCTATTGTTATTGCCATTATGATATGGGCTACTTGTATCCACATAAGTAGTATATGGTGATGGTGGTAAGGCATATAATGTATTTTAGCAGGAGATCGATAAGGAAAGAACAGGAACATAGCACAATCGGTATGAAAATGCATGAATAATGAAATATTAGACAATGGATTGATATTTACAGAAGGAACATTGAAGATTGAGAAAATTGATTGATAATTTGCAAATTAACTATTTACTGTATGATTGTCAGATTTTGGTGCGATAATCTGTAATTTGTGCTTAATTACATTCGATTGTCTTCATCCGTGTTCTCATTCACTACACTACCACTTACACTACTATCATTACTACTATTATCATTGAAATATGTTTCCTGATCCTAAAGGAATTCCAGATCTCAGATAATCTCTGTTTATACACTGAAAGTTTGATAGCACGATTATTTTATATAGTTAAGATCATGAGTCAATTAAAGCTAGATCACCGTGGAAAACCCAGAAGCACTGGAAGGCCGTTTCGTCCTATTGTGGGACCACTAAGTCGGCATCCAGGTGTGTTAATGTCTAACCTCAACCAATCCACGAAATCGTGAGACGAATACCCGACTCAGTGGTCTATCGGCTAAGCGCTCCGGAGCGAGACTGTTAGGTCCTGGGTTCGAATCCCGTGAGACGGGATCGTGGATGCGCACTGCTGAGAAGTCCCATAATAGGACGAAACGGATGTCCAGTGCTTCCGGGTTTTCCACAGTGATCTAGTTTCAATTGACTCATGATCTTAACTATATAAAATTACTAAAATCTCCACTAAACCCACTTGTGATAGCACGATGATTGTCTAAGATCGAAAATAATGAGCTTACCATAATAAAAGTTATTTAAATTAACCATTTTGATTAAAAGAAAAGAAAAACCCATTAATTAACTTCTCTTTTATCCCCTTCATTCATTCTACTTTTATTGTCTGGTTTGATGAATAAATTAAGAAAAAAACACAAAAAGAAAGATCCTATTCTTTAATTATAATCAGTAATAAATCCATAAAATGTCCATCTCTAGGGGGGGGAGGGAAAGTAACCCTTTTTTGAACTAATTTCTATAGTTTCTAATATATTTTCAGACAAATAAATTTTATAAAACAGGCTCATTTATATTTACATTAAAATAAAGAGGGGGGAATTCATTCATAATAAATACAGATCATATAAATCAGATCTATATTATTGAATGAACAATAATAAATGGATTATCATCAATAGTCAATTAGTCAATCAGCTACAACGTAGGATCAGGCACCTATATGCATCGGTTCAAGTTCATTAACACAATAAGATCAACACCAAATTCATAGAAGTAGTTAATTTAATGGTGGTAATATATAAAAGATAAGTTGTATATAAGTATAAAATCTATACAAATAAAAAGTTAAAAGAAAACCATCTAAAAAAATACACAAAAAATAATAAATGAAAAAGATCAGAAGGGGTTTTGTGGAGAATTTAGTATTTTCATAGTTGAAATCATGAGCCAATTGAAGCTAAACCAACATGGAAAACCTGGAAGCACTGCTTGACGGCTGTTTCCTTCTATTATGGGACTCCTCAGTGGCAGTGCGCATCCACGATACCGCACTCGTCAGATTCCAACCCAGGACCTACCAATCTCGTGCCAGAGCACGTAACCGATAGACCACTGAGCCAGTCGGCATACGACGGTGTTAATGTCTAACTTCAATCAATCCACGATGTTTGAGCGACCGTTCACCACTTGTGTTCAGTGAGTTGATATCTCTACAACAGACTTGGTAGAATTCCACAGGGTTACTGCTTCCCACTAGAACTCAAGGAAATATCTCTTACAGTCAGTCACTAGTGAGCATATGATAATTATCAAAAGGGGTTCGGTGGAGAATTTAATATTTTCATAGTTGAAATCATGAGTCAATTGAAGCTAAACCAACATGGAAAACCTGGAAGCACTGCTTGACGGCTGTTTCC